CTATTGATTGGAAAATAAAAGAGGAACCTAACAAGCCTAGCTTTAGGGGCTCTATAGAACACACAAAATTTAAGGAAACAATGTTTCTAAACAATAATTCAAATCTATGTTAAAATTCTCTACATAGGTTCTAAACAATAACTCAAATCTCTATTATAAATTCTCTATATAAAGCCCTATTTATAGTAAAAGATTTGATTTAAAGCCCAATAAATCCTAATTCTAATTGAATTAAAAGTCCTAATTAAAACAAAATTCGTAATGATATTTTTATCCTTGATAAAACAAATATTCCATATGCACAACAACTACTTTCCTAAGCGACTCCTCTAACCCTAAAAATATAAAAAAGCCCTAGAATCCATACAAAAATGTAAGGACCCAAAAAACAAACCTTGAAATTAAAATTAAATTATGCATATTTGAAACTAAAGAAAAATAAAAAGTAAGAATAATAATGTCCCAATCACGTAAATAAGTTAAGAGGAGAAAATGGGAGGTTCTTATTGAATGATTCATCAGAGAAAGAGTCCTTTTGGTGAAAATGGGATACAGTCTGCACACTAAGGAACTGGGGGACTTAGAATTCTGAAAATCAAAGAGAAGGGCCATGCATTGGCACTTTGGCAGCTAATTGGTGATGTAGATTTGCAGTATCCTCAGATCATCTATGGAATCATCTGTTGAAAATATTGAAGAGAGGTAAATGGGTGGCATGTTAAAAAGTGGAGGAGCTCTCAGTGTGTTTCTCGTGCTTAGAGAGGAATTATTAGAGTGCAATAAATGTTTGTTGCTAATACTAGAATTTTGGTTGAACATTGATGAAGGACTCAATTTTGATGGATAAATGGTTAGGTTCTGAAACCTTTCAAAATCATTTTTAAGCCTGTATATAATTGCTCAAAAACAGTGAGCATCTGTTCAAGAGATAGCAATTTGTTCTATATGCTTAGTAAAGAGGACATATTGATAGTGGTACATGCCAACCAAGGGGTTCATGGTAAATCATTCTATAGAGATATGACTGGTTAACCAGGTGGCATGAAATCAGTGAGGGCATGGACAATCCGAACACCACCGAAATTTCAAGTATTTGGGTGGTAGTCAAGAATTAACATAGTGCTGACAGCAGATCATCTACAGAGAGGAATGCTAACCACAAACTGGTGCATTGTGTGTAAAAACAATGATGAATCAGTCAGCCACTTGTTCATCCATTTTGAAATTGCAGCAAAGGTGTTGGAGTTTTGTTCTTACATTATTTTAGTTTGAGCTGTTGATTCCTGAATCAGTGGAAAGGATTTTTTTAAGTCATGGATATTTTTGTCTTTACCGAAGTTTGGTGGCTTGCTGTTGAGACTAAATATTCTAGCAGTTTTATGGGCTATATGATGGGTTGGAAAGAAAGACTTGTAGCTTTAGCTCTGTGTACCATGGTGTGACATGGCTGAAGGACTGAATTAAGTCTATGGTTTTTTTATGGGCTAGGGTGAGGGCTGAGTCTTGATGGGTATTCTACCATGGATATTGAAAACCAGTTGCAAGCAAGTATATATGGCAGCCTAAAGAAGACACACTGCATTTAACTTGGCGCCCATCTGAGGACGGAATGGTGAAAATAAATTTTGATGGCAGCTGTAAGGGGAACCCAAGTCCAACAGGAAATACAGGATAGTTCGTAGTCATTTCAGTTGAACCTTAATGCTATGCTCAGGCCCATTGCATGGTGTAACAGTCAAGAAAATCAATAAACATGGTAAGGAAATTGTTCACATAATTTGATGCTAATAAGGCTCAAATATTGCTCAAACTTGGAAGAAGATTGTGATAGAGGGGGATTCATATAAGATGGTCTCATGGTTCAGCAGGCTGTCGGATTACCCATACAGACTAATAGAAGAAAATTTCGAAATTACTAGGGTTATCACAATTTCTCTAGTACATATAGCAATTAAGAGAAGGATAGATTTGCAAGAGACAATGCCTCGAAGACCTCTCTTGTAGTTTTGTTTTTGTAAAAAGATGTGGAGAACTATAGCTTTAGGAACTACAGGAAAATATACTCGTAGATTTTTTTGATTAAATGAAATTGTATAAGAAGCCAGGTTATTAGTGTATATGGGCATATCTAGTTTTCACCAAAAAAGGCTGTGAAACATTTTATGAGCTTCCTTAATAATCAGGTGAGAGAAATGGCTCTTAGCAACGAATAGTGGAGTGCACTAAACATTTGCCTTTTTAGACATGAATGGGCAGAGAAGTGAACAGAACTATTCATTGACAAATGGTTTGTCCAAATTGGAAGTGTTAGCAAAACTTGCAAATGTATGAATTTAGCAATGCAAGCATGTTAATAATGTTAATCAAGGGTCACTAGTTAAAGCAACTTGAATTCAAGAAATCAGGGGAAAACATAACATTAGACGGATGATTTCTTTCTAAATAGCAAAAACATAGAATTCAAGAAATCAGGGGATAACATTCCAACAACTCCCATTTGGTTTCTTTCTAATTTATATGATGTGTGTTGATGTGGGGAGCTTGTTTAAGGAGTGGGGATCCCTCCTTGGAATTTTGCTCTGGCAATACAGGTTCCTAAGCCCGAGCAGAGCTCACTCCCCCCATCTAGGGATCTCGTCCATTTGTTATAAGGATCTCGATCCCTGACTCAAATAGGTCTTGCCTGTGTCGAAGGGGACCACGACTCCCATTTAAAATGGGGGCATGATCTTGGTTTAAAGGGATCACAAATTCAAGGGAATTTCAAAATTTTTTGAATTTTGAACCGACATCTTTGACTTGATGCTGATTTTATCGACATCTTTGACTTGATGCTGATTTTTTTGGTCTCTAACGTTTTTCTTTCTGGTGACCAGTTGCAGATGTTTGTGCTTTTTTGTTTTCATGATCGTCAGTTTCCATCAGTGGTTGAAAACTTGTGGGCCGAGTTAGAGTAGTCTGAGTAAGCTTGCACTCGAGGGCTTCCCATGGAATTGCCTAGGTTATCTAGAATTGGGTGGTGCACTCAGTTCCATAGTTGTGCGAACCTTAGGGAGGCCACAGTTCCAACTTAGGAGCTCAATCCTGCATTTTCTCTAAGGGATCTTTGAAGGAGCCGGTTTAGTGAAATAGGGATCTTGCTCCCTATAAAATGAGACCTCGGTCTCCATGCTTGTAGGATCGCTCTAAGGAGAGGAGCTATACTATTAGTTGCACTAGTGCTCCTCTACTTGGTATTCTAAATTTATTTCTTTTGAATATATTAAACCGTGGTGCATATCACATCATGCTACACTAGAATCATGTTATTAAAAAGCTACAGTTTAATATCGTAGTAAGCCAATTTTTGCTATTAATAAACTGTTTTATTATAGTAAATTGGGGTACTATAACTATGGCATTGCTAATAAGCTAAGGTGTACGATAATGGATCGAGCGGACTTTGGCTTGATCCTAAGTTTATGATATACTATTAATTGATCTTGTTTTATGTGTGGTAGAGCTTAGATCCCTCCAAATCAAAACCTCGATCCTAATGACATGGGATCTCGCTCCCAGGTATCTTGGGATTTGGCTCCTTAATTTGTTGAATGTTTTGATCCTAAGCCTAGGGGAGCTTCCACCCTATAGTAGTTCGGCATTCCCCGAGCCGATCCAGCTCCCGAACCCGCTCCTGCCCCCGCCCCCGCCCCCAAAAACTATGCCCAGTTCACTACGGGGGCTAGGACTGTTCTTGAATACAGTTCTTACGAAGTTCCTTTGATGTCATTTTTCTCAAATATTTGTGGGTCTCTCGTGCTATAGGGTTCTCATTCTGCATGGATAGAGATAATGCTAAAAAAGTAGATTATAAATATTTCAATTTTTCAATAACACTTCCAAAAATAAATTAAAATAACAGCACACACACATGCATATATCACTTTAAAGAAAATAAAGTAACATGTATACATACATCCATGCATGCATGCAGACATACGCAAGACATGCGCACACATGCACAAGCGTATACACAAGCAAGCACAAATGCCCATGCACACAGGGTGGTCCCCAACTGCTCCTACATATATAAATTACTATATCAGGTCATTTCCAAGCCTGAATAATGCTCCAGGCCCTCCCAAGATAGGGAGCTGCAGCCATCGATCGATCGTAGGCTCCCGCTTTCACTCTCACTTCTGCACTTGCTCCCGCTTCCAAGAACTATGGTGGGAATTGTATATGTTCAATGTTACATGCCATGTGGTACTCACTGATATTTATTTGTAAGTCATTAGAAACTGAATTGTTTTTTAAAGTTCTGGTTTAACTAATGGTACTCATTTGCCTGTTTCTACTTGGAAGTTATTTGCTAATGATGTACCTATTGAATGCTTATTTGGAGTTGATGTGAACATTTTGAAGTGAGAGAATGATGGCTTTGGTTTGCATTCCCTGTGATATTTGTGGTGGTTACTGCCCAGAGGAAGATATCATGGTGTCTGCTGATTTGGTGTATGAGATGCAGTCTTCGTCCTTATGTTTCTTTGGCATAAAAAGTTATGGGAGCAATCAATTTCTTTTTTCTCCATGGGTTTTGCAGTATTTAGTGACCAAATTTTCCTCGATTTGAAGTGATTACTTCCTTTTCTCTGGGGTTCTATGGCCTGCCTTGCCATGTCTTGCAGACTGGCTAGTTGAAGTATGTAGGTCTTGTTTTGTTTACCTTATGTGTCTGAATTTAATATTGCCATGCTTGACATCCTCGAAGATGCCACTCTGACTTCTGAGTATAAAATGTCCTATTATAAAGTGTTATAGTTTTGATGACATCATTTCACTAGTCGAGTGATAAATTGGATCTGATTCCCAAAAGCAACAATGTGAAATGTTCTCACAGGAAACTAGTTCTTCTGCTACAGTGTTCCATAATTTTATAAAATATGAAGGTTCTCCATTATGTACTTCTGGTTGCCTCCACTTGAGGGCTATTGAGTGACATTTGGGCAGCTGTTGTGCAGGGGCTCTTGAGAAAAGGGGCATTGGTGCACTGGAGCTTGTTGCGATGGACATGAAGGCCAGGTTTTTCATCTTTAGGAGCTACTTTACTACATTCTTACTGTTGCCAAATTTCACCTTATTAACTAGTGCCACTATTTATCTTTCTCCAGGGGAATGTATGTGTGTCGGACTTTAAGCTTTCAAGGAGCAGAGTTTGAAGTAATTGAAGCCCTGCTAGAAGCAAAAATGACGGTAAATGATGATAAGAAACGACCTCTAAACCGTGCATATTATGAACAAATGAACCTATATTGCTCATAACTAGAAATGACAAGGGCACATTTTTTTCATTCGAAAGTTCTTTCCTGGTAAGAACTTCCTCATGAATAAGGTCTGCCCATGGGAAAATGCTGTCATACCTCAATTGGCATGGCTGTCCCACATCTTACATGGTCAGGGCTATGTTGGGACGCTGCTTTCTTGTGGTGTTCTCCACTTTGCTATGAGACAAACACAGGAAAGTGGTTCCTCCGGGAAGTTCTCTCCCAGAAAGCACTTTCCCATGAACAAATGTTACCTTGTGGAATTATCTGGATCATGAATGGAGTGGTTGGAGTCCAATTTTGTATAGGACTTGCCCTAAGGGGTTGCAGGGAAACTGTGGCTTGAAAGGGATGGACTGCATGTAGTTTTGCGTGGAGGTGCAGAATTCATAGCTAGCACCTGAATTAAACTAACTATAACTAGTGTAATGTGTCACTGCTAGGCTTATAATGGCTAATAAAAACAAGTCACAAGTGGTATTGTCATCATTGTTTTTAGGACAATGTAAAGGCTCCACTGTTCAACATGTGTCAGGGTGCCTATTTGACTGCACTAAATTTGCCACAACACAGAAATATGTAGATGAAAAATTTCAAATAAAAAGCAACACAATTATGTAGATGAAAAATTTTAAATAAAAAGCACGAGTTTCCTCTGTACTGCTGGTTATCGTTTAGCCACGGGGAATCAACCCATACTCGGTTGAATGCTATACTATGTTGTGCATCATAGAGAAGCACCACTATTAAATTTAAACCACCATATATGATGGTTATTTGCAACTTTTTTACGTTGAGAAGTGCAATTAGGAAGCATGAGAAGGGGAAAGGCACTTGTTATTTAGATTTGCAAGTCCATGCATTTTACTTTCATGATTGTGTATTTCATTGTAAAATATCTCGAATCAAGTTTGTCATTATCATCTGTTATTTTTTTGGTAAAAGTCTTTATCTTTAATTTCTGGCAGCATTGATAATAATATAATTGACATACATTACAATTTTTCTACTTTTCCAGGATATTTACCAAAAAGCAGCTGAATTTTGGGCAGAGTTACGTGTTGAATTATTGACAGCAACTGCATATCTTTCTGATGATAAACCTAATCCAAGTCAAATTTGGCGTTTGTATTGGGCAAGTCATCAGGTGTGTTCTCTCATCTTTAATTATGTTTTCAAGCATTCATTCTGGTATTGATGTATAAGACTGGGTGTCAAACATCACTGGCTTCTTGATGCAGCTACTCATGAGTCATGTCTATTGATGTTATTATATAAATATAACACATTGCATCTCATTTAACTTAATAATGTTTCAATACAAAGTATGCATTCTAAGTTGAATCATACACCTATAATTTGTAGTTAAGAATTTTTGTCTTAGTTAAGTCTGCTAAGAAATGACTAAACCAGTTCTACTTGTTATTATGCGCATTATGTATCAGAAAGAAAATATTATATATCTTATGAACCTGGCTTCCCAAATCCTGTATCAGTTCTGTGCCCTCTGCATCAGTTCATACTCCTGTTTTTTATGGAAATCTGATGTGATCGGGAACATCTTTCCTGACCAATCGAGATGGGCAAGATGATGGTGTTACAGCAAAGTTTCTTCCTAACTCTTGCTTATCTGTAGCTTGTTCTGCCAATAGGTCTGCTGCTCTCTTCCTCTCCGAGAAAATGAGTTTCGTTGGCCACGTTCTTCTGTAAATGAGCTTCCCAAATTAGCTGATGGTTCTTTTCATGGTCAGAAATGATGGGTGTCATGTAAAAATAATGGTTACATGCTTATAGCCTCCCCCTTAAATGTACAAGGAGCATGAATGCCCAGGGTATGAAACTAATCCACATTTGTGAAATTTAATGGCTGTCAGGTATTGTTTCGAATGAAGGGGACAACAGCCATGCTTTGAATGTAAAAGTTTCTCCTTTTCACTTGTCCCTCTTTCTCCATGGTTTATGTTATTTCTAGTGTTTTAGATATTTGAACTGGGTATGGAATTGGGTAGGTCCCCGTCCAGGTCGAGCTGCAGGATCATAACTATCACAATTGGGAAAAGGTAGTTTGCGGCCTTGAATCTCTTTCTCAATTCCAAACCCGCATCTCAAAACTAAAAATGAATGGTCCGAGCAATCAACAGCTCTGCTCGGTGAGTCCTGTCTTTAGGAAGCCGAATTTTTTTGAAGAACAATCTGTAGATATTCTGAAGACCTAGTCAAGTTGGGGTCGGCTAAGGTCAGATTCAGATCATCTGAGTCTGGGTCATCTTGAGCCCAAAGGTGCCGATTTCTGAATCTAAGCACCAGTTAAAACTGACTGTTAGTATTATGGAGCGATAAAGGGTCCTTTATGCTTTTGGATTGAGAGCCATAATGATATCCTTTAGGTCTTTTATTGGTATCCCTTTGGCACCCACTCCCAATAATTCCAAAGCCTTTCCCATGTTATTTGGTGATGCCTTCAGTGCTGTCGTTATTGCATTCGTTCCACCTAGTATTTTAAAAAACTTCCTTGCTCGGCGCCCAGGTGGTGCTTTGAGGCATGTCGAGGCCCTAAGCAATCCTCTTCGTGAGGTAGGGTATCCAAGGTGGGGCCCCTGTAGGTGCCTGTTTAAGTGGCCTAGGCACTGCCTTGGCGCAAAGTGCTTGCCTCTGAGCTCCTTAATGGCCCTTCAGGTAGAGAAAAAATTGGTCCTTTTCCCTCTCAAAAGGGGGAGAAAAGGGGTTTGAGGGTATTCAAAACCCTGAAGCGTACAGAGTGAGAAATTCCTATGATAACAAGGATTTAATTTTTTTTTTGAGAACATTGAGATTTTGGTGGTTCTTTTGAAATATTGCAAAAACAGAGAGCGTAGAAGCCAAGAGATGTGTCAAAGGCGAAAGCTTGCTGATTTGAGCAAACTTGGATTAGGTTTCCAAAGGTTAGTTGTTTTTTATTTTGTTTTTTGATAGTTTTCAAGTTAGGTTTTTGGTTTTTGTTTTATTTTTCAAGATTTGGTTTTTATCTTTCTATTTTTTTTTTCTCCAAGTTGGATTTGGGTTTGTTGCCCCTTTTTGATATTGGGTACAATGTTGGGAAAAACAGAAGTAGGCACCTAGGCGGCTAGGGTTTCTGGCCGCCTATGTTGGTGCTTAGATACTTGGGCGCCCTAAGGTCTCTCTCTGTTTGAGGAGTAGGCATCTATTTATATATAGAGAGAGTGGTCACACATCGACCACTTGGAGAACATGTTTCTTGTTGTTCTTCTTTACATATGCAGAGAGAGATAGAATATGAGCCGATGATAGGGTTTTGGGGGGGGGGAAGGTCATTTTCTTCTTTTTCTTCTTCTTATGTAGAGTGAGAGGTCATCTTCTTCTTTTTCTTCTTCTTAAGTAGAGCAAGAACGTATTGGTCCCTGTGTGTGTTTGTGTCTATTTGAGGGAGATAGGGGCCTTGCATTCAACTCCTGGAGGTCATCTTTTTTTGATACGTAGAGAGAGAGAGCACATGGGCTTGTGAGTGAGAGAGAAGGGCCTTAAGCCCTTAACCATTTCTATAGGCCTTAAAGTATTTATATATTCATTTAAGGGGGCTTGTGCTTTATTTTTTGTGCGACACTAAGCGCATAAGGGTTTGTGGTGCTAGAATGCCCCGCCCCCAACCAATAAAAAAAAAAGGGAAAACCATTTTCACCCAGGCACGCCTAGGTGTTTTGAGAGGCTGGCTGGCTAGGCGGCGACTTTTTAAACAATGGTTGGATATGGGTTTTGGTTTGCATGACTGAGTGTTGGCCTACAATTTTTTTTTACTATCTACAAAATTCCATTTTGGACCTTTTGTTTATGTTATTGTTTTTTAGAATGGGTTTAGTTAATTGGTGACTTTCTAAGATTGGGTTTCGGTTTAACATACTTTTATAATATTCTTTTCTTTGTGATTTTTTCTAGTTCTGAACTTTGATTTTGGATTTTTTTGTTTTGCAAATTTTTTACGACGGATTTTAATGTTTTGGACCTTGTTTAAGATTTGGTTTAATTATTTTTTCCAATTCATGGGTTTTTGTTTTGGTATATTTTCTAGTTCCGAACTTCGATTTTGGACATTTTGTTTTATAATTTTCTTTAAGTATTGGTTTGGGTTTTGCTTTTGGTTTTTCTTTAATGCTCTTTTCGAGGTGCTTTAAGTTAAGTTATTATCTTTTGTTATTTCGATTTTGGTTTTATGAATCCTTTCTAGGTTTGAATTTGGCTATCAAACTAAGTTGTTTTTACTAGTGATTTTGTTGGGTTTTGTAGCCATTAAAGGCCAAGAGAGCTTGTAACTAAGATATTTTATAATGAAATATGCACTTATGTAGGAGTGTGCATGTTGACCGATCTAGAATTGGCCGATTTTGGCCCTGAACATTTCCCTGGGCATGTGGCACTATCGAGTAGGGTTTCTACTGGGTCATCCCTTGTTGAGGTCGAAGAAATGCCTAGTGATGATGTTTGTAGGCCAGGAGATCCGTGTGGTCTCTTGCATGCGGTTGTAGGCTTGTGAGAGTAGGGGTTGAAGCCTCAACGAATTTCCATACGGGTGTACACATGACAGTCTCATTACTGGGAAGCAATCCTGTAGAGGGGACACATGTACATGTGCATAGAGAGAGCCCCTTTTGTATTATGGTGACTAGTGCAAGACTTGCTCTTAAAAAGGGTATTGAAATCCACATTCCAGGATCATATTCTCACTGTTTATTGTCTAACTTTGACAAACCAATCATGAGCCTCTGCAATGAGCTTGTGGGTCATGGGTCATTGTTGATAAGGATAAAAAAACATTAATGGATCATGGTTTATGGGGTGAGTGGAGTGTTTTTATTGTTGCTAATTTTGACCTAATAGTATCAGTCCACTCCTAGCATATTTTATTTTCATATTAGAAATATTTTTATGACTTTTAAAATATTTTTCAAAATTTTAAAATATCATTTATGCTGTAATTTTCGTCAAAAGGGTATTTTTGAAAATTTTATAACTTAAAATAACACACGTGGGACCAAGGATCTAGCCCCACATTTGTGTGTGCTCTTTTTAAGAGTAGGGGCCACGTGCCACCCTTTGGGGGCCCACACCCAAATTTTTTATATATAAAAAATTTGCATGCTACTTATTTGAGAAATAAAGGGAATGCCACTTATTTAGGAAGTGCGTGGGCACGCCCCACTTTCTTATTGTTTAAAATTTAAATTAGTAAAGATAGAAATTTTCTTTAATTTAAATTAGATTTGGTTTCTTATCATATGAGCGTTTTAAAGTATAGAGTATCCTTGATTATGGGAGATGTAGATAATGATAAAGTTAGGTTGTATTTCAAATTTAAACAGTTGGATTTGGGTCAAAATCTAAGGGGATAACGTTTCTATTTTTCACCCAAAGTCATGATGGCTGATTTGTGGTATGGATGACTTTGATTAAATCTTTTTTACCCCACAGATATCCTAGTTATCATAAAGGTCTAAGCTGGAAGTTAGATAAGACATACTTAGATTAGAATCCTATGCAAAGTAAACTTTGATCTTTTGATCTTTCTCTCAACACAAGATTCTCTCTCTGACGCCACCCTCTCTCCTATTCTGTTTCATGCCACCCACTCTCCTCATAATTTCTATTATGCCACCCTCTCTCTCCTCTTGTTGGAGTAAAGTCTATAGAAAAAAAAGGGAGGAAAGATGAGACGTTCAAAACCCTAAGTGAAGCTTGTTGTATTTTGAAGAAACGAAGGGTGACAACCGACTTGAAGAGAGATCAACTCACAAGCTCAGCCCTAGTATGTTCACATAGGTTTTCTATAAACCTTAGTTGATTTTAGAACTCTCTAAAACCCTAAAAAAAGAAGCATTGCCTATAAAGCTTCTCTATCTCTAAATTTTCAGCAACACCTAAAGGAGTAAAAGTGTGCCATCGGTCAGGGAATCATGTATGAGGTGTACCAAGCCCTGTGAGGATAACTCTAGGCATCTTCTAGTAAGTTTTCTTAGTAGTTTTATTTTATCATCATCATTTTAGCTTTTTCCCAATTAATTGGGGTTAACTGCATGAATCCTGGTTCTCTATTCTGCTCTATTAGAGGCCATATCCTCAGTGAGGCCATAAGTCCCCATATCTTTTCAGACTACTTTC